GGGCGGGCGCTGACAGCATCCATTCTTGTTGCCTGAGCAGCAGGAACTGTTTGTGAGCAGCACGCAGGGGCTGCTGCAGCTCTCCCTGTACCGCTGCGAGCTCTACGGCAAAGCCTGCACCGACTGCTGCCTGGCCAGGGACCCCTACTGCACCTGGGACGGCAGGAGCTGCGCCCCGCACGTGCTCACGGAGAAGAGGTGAGCGCCCGCCTTGCTCCCCGCGCGGCAGGGACGAGGCACCGGCCCTGAAGGCTCTGCCGTCCGAGCCGCCCGCCGCCCCTGCCATGCTGCCCCCGCGCCCCGTGCCTCATTGCTGTGCCCCGCGGCGCCCGGGCACACAGCCGAGGTGTGCTCGCTCCGCAGGCAGGCCCGCTGCCAGGACGTGCTGCAGCCCGACCCGCGCAGCCAGTGCCAGGACACCACAGAGGGTGAGCGCCAGCCCGGCCCCACCGGCAGGCTCCAGCACCGAGACACCGGTGCCCGCCGTGGGCACCGAGAAACCAGCCGCCTCGCCAGCTGGACTCCCCTGTGCACAGGGCTGGGCAGTCACCCCGTCCTCCCGCCCCCTCTTGCCCACAGGGACCCCCGCAGTACAGAAGCTGGTTTTYGGTGTGGAGAAAAACTCCACCTTCCTGGAGTGCCTGCCTCGCTCRCCGCAGACGAGCGTGCGCTGGCTGGTGCAGCACGGCGAGGAGGGCAGCGCCAGCGAGGTGCGGGGCGCAGGGCATGGGGCGCGGGCGGGCACAGCGCGGGTGGCCCCTCACACCCTCTGCCTTGGCCCAGCTCACCAGCAACGGCCGCTTCCTGGCGCTGGAGCAAGGGCTGCTGATCCGGCAGCTGGCGCGGGAGGACGCGGGGAGCTACGAGTGCCGCGCCGTGGAGCGCTCCTTCTCGCGGCCCCTCACGCGCTACAGCCTGCGTGTCGTCGGGCACGAGGCGATGGAGATGCCACCCTACAAGCGGGGCAAGGAGCTGGGAGGAAGCTACCAGCCGCCTCCGCCCCGAATGGACCCACAAACGGGCTACAAGGGCTTCCCGCGGGCGCTGGGGGCACCGGGCACCAGCCTCGACATCTACTGCAGTGCCCTGCGGCTCCAGGAAAGGCAGCGGCAGAAAGCCTGGCCCCACAAGTGGCAGCCGCCTTCCCCCGAGAGCAAGAAGGGCCGAGTGCGCCGGCACCTGCCGCGCCTGTAACGGAGCGTGCGGAGCGGCCCGGCGCGGCCTGCGCTCCGGGGCCTCCACGGGGCTCCGSCGCCTGCCCCCTCCACCAGTTCGGGCCCTTGCAGGCACCAGCTCCAAGCCACCGCTCAGCCTCCCGAGCAGAAACCGCCGTGCGTTGACTACCTCACACCGCGCCGGTGCCCCGGGCCTCCCCGTGCGGCCCCGCGGAGCGCGGCAGGGCCGGGGCAGCCCAGCCGGACTCCAAGCCATTCACGCCCTGCTCAGTATTTATTCTCCTCCTACCTCCCCTTACCGGTGATGGTTAATAGCAGCAACAACGAACGCAGAGCACCCAGGAGGGAAGGAGCCSGTTTTGACCTGGCTCCTGCACCGGGCAGCCTCCAGACGCCGCCATGGGCATGAGCGGCCCCGGGCACCTCACGCTGGCACCGGCGCCCGGGGAGCTGCTTGTGGAGYGGGGCGCTGGCAGCAGCACCTCTGGGGTTGCCCAACCGCGCCCCGCTTTGCCCCGCACCGCTTCTTTCTCGTAGCAAATCGTGTTTGAAGCTCGTTTTCCCACAAGAGAGCAAAACGCCGGGCAGTTATACCAACTTACAATTTATTGTTTTTTAAAAAAATGACATGAAACACAAGTAAAAATAAATACATCATATAAACAACAAATTGCTCAAAGTCTCTGTTCTGGGAGGCCGGGCGTGCACGTCCCGCTCGGCAGAGAGAAGAGGGAAGCACATGGTCACGCGTGGGGCCAGCCGCCCAACCCACCCTGCTGGAGATCCTCCTCTTTCCAACCACAAGAAGACAGGCCACAGACTAAGGCGGTAGTAAGAAAGAAAACAAATGAAAGCAGCCCCCATCCCCGCCCCCAAATTAAACCAGAGCCACCAGCGGATTCATTCAGGCTGCCCTGCACACGTGGGTCGGCCYCGGAGAGCCCAGGTGCGAGCAGGGCGGGAGGCAGCGCCGTGGGGCRGGAGGCGGCCTCCCTCACGCTGCCTCCCTCACGCCGTGGCCTCCCTTTGAGCCCCGTGTGTGAGGAGCCCCCATCTCCAGCGGGACGGAGCTGGACTGAACCCCCCTTTTGAATCTCTGCCCCCCACCCCCTGCCCTTCCAAGAGTGGACTGACAAACTTCGTCCTAGAGTAGAGAGAAACAGCAGCTGAGCAGCTCCTTGCCGCGCTTGCCCCTCTGGGCCTGGGAGCCAGCCACAAACCAGCAGCCATTTTGTTGCGTTCCCCCATTAGCCGGCACCAGTTAAGTGAAGCAGGTCCTAGCGAGGCGCCCGTGGCAGTCCCGTCCTTGCCTCCTGGCAGCGTTTCTGTATCTGCAGTCACCCCGCGCAGCTCCCAGCGCCCGTGTCAGTGAGCGGGCCCGGCGGTGGGTGTGGGCCGGGCCCTGCCGCCCACGCTCCAGTGCCACCCACAGCAGCGAAGGGCGCCCAACCCACGGCAGTGGTCGCGATGGCCTCGGGTGCCTCGCAGCCGCGGGTCGCTCCCCACCCGCCCCAAGGTGTCTCGCAGGGGTGTCTCAGCTTCGCCCGGCCGTCCCGGCTGCGCCCGGAGAGGGAGCGGAAACCTCCCTCCTGGGGGAATTGCTCAGAGGCGSCAGGGGACCTCGGGGCTGCGCTCAGGAATCCTCCTTAGCGTCCAAACGCCTCTGCGGAGAGTCCTGCCCCGCTGTCCCCAGCGCCGCCCGCAGCRCGGCCGCCAGCTGCTCCCAGCAGTTCATCAAAGACAAAGTCAGCAGCAACACAAAAAATCCAACCCGCGCAGGGGCAGCCACCGTTCCAGGCTCCGACAAGCGACACAGGACCCTCTAAAGCACAACTAGGTGCTAAAGAGAAGGCGGGAGGGGAGAGGAGGCCCCAGGAGAGGCGGCGCTTGGGGCTCAAGAGAGGTCAACCCATTCGGAAGGAGCCCGGATAACCCACGTTATCCGTGCGGCTTCGAGGGTGCGGAGGAAATCCTTTTGCGCTGCCTTAGAGCCAGACCACGAGCCGGTCCCTGCCGCCCCGGTGCAGCTCGGAGCAGCCCCGGCAGCGGCCGCTCGCTGGGGCCGCCCCAGATGCGGTGACCATCTCTGTGCYGAGGCTCTGACACGGGGCAGGGCCCCCGACACAGAGGGTGGCTGAAGGGCGAGGCAGGGAGCCCGCCGGGTAGGTGGGGACAGAGGCACCGCCCTGCCCCGTGCTCAGAAAGGGCCCCCGGGACTCGGGCGCTTTCGGAGCAGGGGCAGCGCGCCTGGCTCTTGCAATGCAGGAAGCCCCTCAGGGTGGGCGGCGTCGAGGGGCGGCCGCGCAAGGGGCATCCCGGCCGCCGCGGGGCACCTAGTGGCGCAGGGGTCCCTTTCCTAGGGGCGCCGAGCGCGGCCGCCCCGCGCTGCTGCGGCTACGGGCGCCTGCGGCAGAGAGGACGGTGCCAGGAGCCGCTCGCCGCAGCACCGGCTGCTCTGGAGGTCAAGGCGCTTTCCTGGAGAGGCAACGAGCAGAGCAGAAACCGCGCGGGCCCTGCGGGCAGCGCCCCGAGCCCCACAAAGAGGCACCAGGAGGGTGGCGGGGATGAGCACGGGCCCTGCCCACAGCACCGGCGCAGCCAGGCTGGGAAGGACCCCAGGCTCCCTCCGCTCGAGCTCCCAGGAGCCAGCAGCCTCCCGCGYGGCCTCGCAGGTCTCAACCACTGGCTACCCAGGCCAAGGAGAGCCCAAAAGTCCCGGGAAGGCAYCGGCCTCCCGGGGCTGCAGCGGACACGCGGGCGAGCTCGCGCTACAGTCAGCGGCGCGGGGTCGGACACACAGAGCACAGGAGGGCACCACTCACAGACGCAGCAAGTCAAGTCTTTGGAGAAACTYGCATGAACAGCATCAGTTAATTTGCTTTGATACTTTTGTGGGGGGGTTTGATTTTTATTTCCATGGTGCATCCAAAGACAAGTTGTCCAGCAGTTTGCTCAGAACCCCTCGGTTTTCAACTCCTAGGACATGTTAAAGAAGAAAGCACTATTTTAATGTTTGTTTTCTTAAAAAAAAAAAATAATAATTTGCATAGCTAAACTGTTGTTCTAAGGCTTCTATGAACAGGGGGGTTACGTTTGACAGACAACGTCCATTAAACAGAGAAAGACACTAGGAAAGCCCCGTAACGTGTTTATTGTGGTTCCGCGTGACGAGCGCCCTCGCTCCGGGAAGGTCCTGTCCTCCGGCCGCCGGGACGTCCCCTCCTCTGCTCCTACCCCTGGCCGGTCCCGGTCGCCGCTGCCCGGGAAGGCACCGCGGGGCCCGGCCCTGCAGGGAGGACGCGGCGCCGGGGGCTCCCGTGGGGCCCCTGCACCCGATGCCCCACGCGGCCTCCGGACTCCCTGCACGACGGGGCGCGCGCGGCCAACGCGACGCCAGCGCCCGCTCCTACCCTGCGCTCTGCTCCGCGGCTGCTTCTCCCCACGCGGACACCCCCACGAGCAACCACGGCACGAGGCAGGCCAGCAGTTTATTTTTCTTTTTTTTTTTTCTTATTTTTTTTTGTTTTCTTTAAACATGAAAATTAATTTAAAAATAGAAAGAAGAGAGTCCCCCAAACAATAAATATTACGCCTTCATGAAATAAATTAAAGCAGGAGATGGGGTCGGAGCGGCGAGGGGCGCTGGCCCGTGCGCCCGCGGGCGCCGTGACGAGGCGCCCATGGGAGTCGCCAGGACTCCCCTGCAGCAGCAGGAGGGTGCAGGGACAATGTCCTCGGCGCAGGGACAACGTCCCCGGCCCGGGGAGCTGCTCCCTGCCCTCCCGCCGCGCCGGGCACCTCCCGCTCGCCGTTGTYGGGCGCTGAAGAGGATGATGAACCAACCGTGGGTTTTCGTGCCTGTTTTGCTTTTTTCTCCTCCTCTCTCTAACCCGAGTATCCCCCTCCCCACCCCGAACATGCCCAACAGAGAARCCCTCCCGCCCCCTTCCCAGTAAAAACGCTCCGGCCCCGGCGCTGGCCGCGCGGGCCGGCTTCACAGATAAGGCAGTTCCCGGGGAGGCGCTCGAGGCCGGGCCTYCAGGCCCCCAGCCTCCCCCTTTCCAGACAAGACAGAACAGAGACAGACAGACAGACAGAGCCGGGCGGGGAGGGCGGGAGGGACGGGGCTCTCCTAGGGTCTGCGTCGCTGCTCCCCTCCCTGCCCCGGCTCCCCTCGCAGCTCCGCTCCAGCCCCCCGTACAGCTCAGACCCTCGACAGCTAAAACCCAACAAAACAGAACCGAAGGAAAACAAACTGAGCTCCCCAGCACCCCCCTTCACATCCTTCTCCACCCGCTGCCTTGGCCCAGAGGGGATGCCTCCCAAAAAGGTCCTGCAACTTTGGCCTCCCGGCGGAGCCGAGAGCGAGCAGGAGCCGAGCCTGTTATTTCCCTGTGATCTCTATCACATCGTCGTCTTTGTCCTCGTCATTGGAGCTGCATCCCACCTCCGGGACCTCCTGGGCTTCAAACTGAGGCACCTGGGAGCGAAGGAGGCCGCCGGGCGGGTAGCCCGCGTGGGGGGACGCGTAGCCAGGGTAGGCAGACGCCACGCTCCTGGGAAGGCTGCTRGGCAGGACGGGGGCCGGGAAAGGAGCAAACATCCTGGGCTCGGGCAGGAGGGACTGCGTGAAGGGCAGCGAGTAATTGGGCAGCACCCCCGTCAGAGAAGGGTTGAGCATGAAGGAGGGGACGCTGGCGGTGGCTGAGGTAGCAGCAGAAGAGCTGGCGGTGCCGGCTGGCAGCAGAGGGTCAGTAGTCACAGGGAACACCAGATGAGGGTCTGGGAGTAAGTTGGGCAGCTGGTAATAAGAGGAGCCAGTGCCCACGTATAAGGAGTTTCCTGGCTGGGAGGCAAACGGATGGGGTAGGTTGTGGTTTAGAGAGACAGGAGGCATGGCGAACCCACCAGAGCCGGGGTACCCGTGTTCGTAGGGCTGCGCCGCCGCCGCCAACTGGCGCTTTTTCTGCTGCCTGCGGGCCTGTTCCTCGGGCGCCGAGGGCGACGTCGACTTGCGCTTGCTGCCCCGTAAGTCCAGCACGGCGTGGGCGTCGCCGTGCGGGCCGGCGGGCGGCGCGCAGGGCAGGGCGGCGCGCTGCTCGGGCGCGGGCTCCGCGCGGGCCGGGGCGGCGCGGGCACCGGGGGAGCCGTGGCGGGAGGCGCGGGCCGCCGCCGCCTCCGCGTACTGCTGCAGCTCGCTGAGGATCTCGGGGCTGTCGGGGGAGAGGGGCCGCGCGAGCTCCTCGGCGCTGGCCGCCGCCGGCGATGAGGCACTGTGTCTGCCGTTGCTCGGGGACTCCAGCGGGGAGCTCCGGGAGCCTGCGAGACACGAGGGCCAGCGGCTCAGGAAAAGCCCGGGCGCCAAAGGGATGGGGAAGAGGCAGGAGCCACAGGAAGGGGTGGGCAATGGGGGGACACCGTGGGGTAAACGTGGRCCTGATGGGAGGAGGCCAGGGGCCACCAGGTAAGAGGAGGGCTCTCGAGCCACCCCGCGAGCCCCTACCTGAGGCAGCTGTCCGACGGTCCTCGTTGCCCTTTGGCTTCCCAGTGGTCCGGATAGCAAAAATGCGCCCGTCGCTGGTCCGGATGTACGTCCCTGGAACAGAGACCCAACACCGGGGCGCGTGAGATCTGGCCTCGCCCTCGGCCTGCGGAGCCAGCCAGGCTGCCCTGGCAGCAGGAGCTCAGCAGCGCGGCCCAGGGAGGGAGAGCAACGGGGCCTCCTGCCTCCTTCCTTGCTCCCCGTCTCCCTCCTTTTGGCATTCCTGGGCTCCAAGCTCCCCCCTCCCGATGTGACACTCGGCGTGTGGGGCTAAGTTGGATCCGGGAGCGCTGGGAAGTGCTCAGCTGTGTGGGTCCGTGCCTCAACGAGAGGCCTCACAGTGAAGTTCAACAGCTCCTCTTAGAGGCCACAGCAGCCACAGCAGGAACCATCCCTGGTGCATGGGCTACAGGAGCCCAACTAAGCCCAGCTGGGGACCCTTCACTGCAGCATCCAGATCTCCTCCCTTTCCCACCCTTTTTCCTCTCCAAGGACTGGTTTGTGTCTTTAGGTCCCTTCTTTGCTGATGAGCATTACTCAGGTCTCCGCCCRCAGATCTTACTGAGACAGGGACTTACCTTTAGTCCCTCGGATGATGTGGATGCTCTCGCCAGCACTGATTCTTGCCTGCACATCAGTGGACGTGTTTGTACCCGGAATCACAATATCTGGCAGAGKGGGGAAAGGGAGCAGGCTCTGTGAAACTGCACACCAGCCCCGGGCAGGAGCAAGAAGCGCCCCAGGGATCCCCTTTGCTGCAGCACGGTTATGCTGTGCTCCTTTTGAGCAGCACCAGGACAGCAGAGCAGGACAGTGCAGGGCTCCCGGGAAGCAAAACCCRGGCAGCTCTGACACAGGGTCTCTGCTGTCCCAAAAAGGACAAGTGGTTCCTTTCTGTTGCAAGCAGCACTGCAGGCCCTCTTAAAGTGAGCCCACTCCTAACAGCCCTCTATGCTTTCACCCCTTACACACCCACACRGAAAGCACCCCAGATTCCTGCCCCGGGGAACTCCTCAGATTCAGATAGGGGCATGAGCAGCAGCTCTGAAGCCTCTCTGCCCACWGCCATGGGAGAAATCTGCAGGAGGGACCAAAGGAGAGGTTTCCACCTTCTCTGTCATGGTCTCGGTTCTCCGGGCTCAGCCCTGCAGCAGCAGCTCACCTGTGGTGGTGACAATCTTCTGCACGAGGACGCCAGCTCGCTGGAGATAGTTGATGGGGAAGTTGACAGCAGGGTTGGAACTTGAGGCTGATCCCGCAGCGCCCAGAGGGACGTGCCGGGGCAACATAGGAATGGGGGTGGACTGAACTGGGCGGACACTGGCCACTGGCTTGTCCTCACCCTTCAGGGCTGGTCGCCTAAGGAGAGAGGAGGAGGAGGAGGAGGAGGAAAATTGAGCGTCTCTAATGGCAGCACCAGGCTTCCTCCAGCCCTCCAGTCTGCACCATGGGAACATGAGGAAGAGGCAGGAACTCACCAGTTCCTCTGGCTGAAGGCAGGGATACTCGTCAGACTCTGGTCACTGGCTGGGTAATACTGTGCATAGGACGGCCGGGTGTAGGGGACGGATGCTCGTTTCTCCTCCTCGTAGCTCTTCTTGGCTGCTTTCTTCTCTGCCTTGGTCAACTTGTGCTCCTTCCGGTCGATCAGCAGGGACTCGTGCTGAAAAGGCTCCTGCAAAGGCACGGTGGGGACAATGGGACACACCAARGCCCCACGAGGGGACACCAAGGCCCCACGAGGGGACACCAAGGCCCCACGAGGGGACACCAAGGCCCCACGAGGGGACACCAAGGCCCCACGAGGGGACACCAAGGCCCCACGAGGGGACACCAAGGCCCCACGAGGGGACACCAAGGCCCCACGAGGGGACACCAAGGCCCCACGAGGGGACACCAAGGCCCCACGAGGGGACACCAACATGCTCCACATGGCAGCTGCCCTGTCCCCGTGGGCCAGTGGAGGAGAGGGAAGGTGATGGGCAGAGCTGGTCATGGGGTGGTGTGTCCAGCTGCACGGTGTGGATGAGACCAGTTTGAGGAATGTCAGGAGTGTCAGTTGAGCTGTCACATGTACTAAGGCCCCTGCTCACTGCAAGGGCACTGCAAAACCCACCAGCTGAAGACCCAGCTAAGGGCACCAGTGCAGAGCCTGACCGGGCATCAGGATGACACCAGAGCCCCACCAYGTCCAGCCACAGGCCCAGTCTGCAGCAGTGCCCTGCCTGCAAAACCCTCCCAAATGCAGGCARGTGCTAGCTGTCCTGGCATCATCCCCTTGTTCTAAAATCACTCCAGGAGGAGAGTGTGCACCAAGMCAGAAAAGACGGCGGCCAATTCCCTGATGCAGCATCAAAAGGGAGAAAGGGCTGCCTACAACTTGCCCCCAAACCTGAGCAGCACAGAGGCAGCTCTACGGGTAGTGGAGATATTGTAAGGAAGAACAGGGCTGTCAAGTGCCCCTCTAGAGACACGTGTCCCTGTTCCCAGCAGCACACACACGCGTGTGTGCCCTGCCACCATGTCCTCATTGCACAGCCTGGGAGCTCTGGTCCTCCTCCTGCCTGGGCAGGACAGCACCACCAAGCGAGCAGGTCGGTCTTACCTTGGTGATGAGGTGAGGATACTTGAGACAGGCCAACTGTAGAACAGACTCCTTCATCTTGCATGGATTGAGGGAGAGCTGAGCAGGGTCAGATTCCTCCTCCACAAAATGCAGCAGGTTCTCCACCTCCCGGCGGGTAAAGTTGAGCACGGGGTTCAGATCATCCACCACCCGATCTGGAAGAGGGAGGGGAGTGAGCAGAGAAGGTAAGAGATGGGAACTGCTGTCCATTCCCATCCTCAAGTATCGCCCTCCTCCTTATCCGTGTTTCCTCAGAAGCCTCTTGCAAGTGCCAAAGCAGGGAGAAACATCATCCACCATGTTCAGTGATGAGCCTGTTTTGACCAAACCGGGCTGACAAGCACYTTGTGCTCCAGAGAACAACGTGGCAAAGGCCACCAAGCTGTTGGACTYGGCAACATGGTCCTAGTTACACAAGCCCTGGGACAGGGTCTGGTAAAGAAGCCACACCAGTATGTGTCCTCCACCACATCTCACCCAAAAGGCTCAAGTGATTAACTGAAATGTGTAGAACTCAAGTCAGATGTTCAGAAAAGCATCCACAATTGCTCCCTAACAAGAGCCTGAAAGTTTCCCTTGTCCCATGTCCCTTGCACATGGGGCAAATGGGAGCACAAGGAGACAAACATCTGTGCCCAGGACTCCCCTGGGAGCAAGGCCAATGGCCAAGAAACCCCATCTTGAGTGCAAAGACAGGACACTGAGCCCGTCACACGGGGCTGCTGCTTCTGCACTTGATTTCAGAGAGAAAGGAGGACACGGGCAGGCAGGACTGTACTGGGGTGAGCAATAGGCCATGCAGCCTCAGTGCTACTTCCACTCCGATCTGTGCTGCTCCAGGCTGCAGTGCAGGAGCCCAAGCAAAGCTGAAGGCCCAGCAGACCTGGAGCTGTAGTGTGCACCACGAAGGCAGCTGGCCCAGCGTGGGGTTGGCAGCACAACCCTGTTGTGGATGGTGCTTCTACAGCCCCTGCTGCTGTGCCCTCCATTGCTTACAGGTTCTGGTATCACTGTCAATTGATAAACATCAAACACCTAAAATAATGTGTTTCTGTAGTTCTTTGGTTTTCTACTTGTTTTTTCTTTTTTTTTTTTCCCTCAAAAAAACATTAATGAAAATCATAGAAATGGGACCAAGAACYGAAAGCGGAGAAAGCCAAGAACCGAGTGCTGTGTTCACCCTTACCTGACATGCCTTGCTTGGAGATCTGGCGGTCGTAGATCTTCTTCTCGAGGGTGTAATCAGAAACCAGCCTGTAGATGTGGCAGGGCTTCTTCTGCCCGTAGCGGTACACGCGGCACACGGCCTGGGCGTCGTGGCACGGGTTCCAGGAAGCATCAAACACCACCACTCTGTTGGCTCCAATGAGGTTGACACCCAAACACCCAGCACTGCGAATCAAAGACAAAATTCCACCTGTTGCCTTGGCCAATTTTCAAAGCTTTTAGGGAAGGGAAGCCATCATGGCCAAGAGTCCATGGGGTATCTGTGGAAAGTCCTTTCCAGTCCTACATGCAACTTCAAAATGACTCCTGGTTTCCAGGACTGTTGTTACCTGTATGGAGAAGACTAGGGCTAAACCCCTACCCCCATAGGGGAGTTAGATGCAGACAGCACGACTGCCAAAGGGAACTCCAGAGCTGATAACCCATGTGCATGCAGAGCGCCAGCGTGAGCCCTGTCTGCTCCAGGCCACTCACCGTGTGGACAGCAGGAAGAGCCAGACCGATGTGTTGCTGGGGTCGTTGAACTGGTTGATGAGGCGCTCCCTTTCCGAGGCAGAGGTGCTGCCATCCAGTCCTGAGGARGAAATGAGGGATGCATTTAAAAGCTCTGTATAAGGGACCCCGTCAGAACTAGCCCAGTTTCCAAACACTAAGCTTTGTTCCCAGTGTGTTTCGGATCCCCTTCAAGTCCTGCACTCCAAGACCTCTGGATCCTCAGGTTGCTGCAATGCAGCCAGCCAGGCTCTTTCCAACCAAAGGATCAAACAAAACATTACTCGAGCCCGGAGGTGCCAAGAACAGGAGGGCTACAACCACCCTGTGCTTTAAGGGTCCATATTAGACCCAACACAAGCAAAAGCAGCAGGCCCAAGGATCCCAAGAACCCTGGGAGCTCAACAAACGAGCTGAAAGCAAACTGTGCAAGCCATTGGCAAACCCCACAGACTGGATCACAGCACAGAGAGAAACAGTCTAAAGGAGGGTGGTGGGCAGCACGTCTCCGTTCYTGGGCACCAGTTTGTTCCTGGCGGCTCTGCAAAACCAGGAACACCCTACGTAGCCCTCCCCTCAGGCCTGGCCCATAAGGCAGCCACACCAAGCAACAACCCACACCCCTTAAACTAACTAATCAAACTGTTTTCCTGAGCAATTAAGATCAGTCTCAAAGAGACGTCAYCATACGAACATCCTAGAAGAAGAGCAGCTGCACATCCAGGGAAAAACATAAGACGACAGTGAATTTTTCCAGGAATTCATCCATCCCAGAGGATCAGACTGCATCATACCCAAAGAGGGAGGACAGGGCGCACTCACTGTAGTAGTTGATGTTTCGGACCCAGTTGTGAATCCCACCATCTGAGCCTGGAGGACTCGGCATCAGCCTCTTCGCCAAGAACTCTTCGATGACAGATAATGTGGACAAGCTCTGGCTGTAAAAGCGAGATCTCTGTTCAGGAGAAAAGCCCAGCAGCAAAACTGCAAGATCACAACCCCTCCCCAACCACACTGGCATTGCAAGTTGTCCCACTCTGCCTGCTGCAGCACACCTCTTGCTACCACACTTGAAGGGGAAGGAAGTATAAAATCCATGGAGGATCTGGTACAACAAAGGAGAAAAGGGGAACTGTCACATAATTCACTTTGTGTAACAACCTGCTAGCACAACTTTCAATTCCTCCAGTTCCAGTAGAGTCAAGCAGTGGCACTTCTCTTACCTGAACACCAAGATCTTGTCTCCAAGCTTCACGCTCTCCTCCACTAAGTGGAACAGTAACACCATCTTGGGCGAGTTCTCCAAGACTCCTGTCTGGTAATCACACAAGATGTCTTTGGCCTACCGAGAAACGGGAGACTATTACAGGTGGAGTTGTTCATTCCCTGTTTACTTCAACAATCGTGTCTCAAGGTGAAGGAAATAAGTCATCGCACAGAGGGAGCACATCCAAACAGGTGCAGCTGACAATGTTAGGCTCATCTGCTACCTGCTATGGCAGAAGCTCCAAATGACAGACCTCGGGAGGATGCTCATTTCTCCATACTCCGAAAGCCCTCACCTGACTCCCTACTCTTATCTCAMGATAGCTCCTCCAGCCACTAGAGAGTTACCACCATCTTATATAAACTTCAGCCTAACACGTCTTTGGGATAAGAAAGTCCACAGCTCTTTTGGTGAGATGATTTATAAAGAAGGGCCACCTGCATCCCATGCCCACRAGAGCCCCATGGCAGCCACACACATATGCTGATGGAGATGCTAACGAGAGAGAGCTCTGTGGCAGAGAAAACGGATGAGAAATCCCCAGCTCTTAAACCTAAGGCTATTTTCTTTACTCTTCTTCAGAAAACTGCCCAGACAAGAAATACAGTCTTTGAGAGAGTAAGTGGCTAGTCCTTGTTTACTGTAATGCTCCAAATGAGGAGCTTTCCAGCAGTGATACTCACCCACTCATACGTAACCACCTGATTCGCTCTCTCCTGGAAAGGGTTGAAGCCAACGCTCTGGAGGAACTTGCTGTTGGTGGCTTCTCCAACGGGTGATGCCAAGGCATTACTTTCTGTTTTGACTTTAATTCCCTGAGGCTGGCAGCGGGAATTGGTGCTTGCTGTGCCAAGGTCATCCACATCCAAATCTTGCTCATTTGCCAGATTCTCCTTTTGAAGAGCTTCATACAACACGTCTGGGTGGTTCCAGATCTGCAAGGGTAAGAAAAATGACGGTTGGGCCTGTGTTGGCCTGTTGCCTGTCAAGGTGTGGGGACTGAAAGTCCTCACGGCTCTTTGAAGAAAAGAATTAATATTTCCATCATCTATTCACCATCCCCRCATGGGATTTTAGGGCTCTGCAGAGAAGGCCACAGCACAACACATGCAGAGGAAGCTGCTAGTTCGCATTGCAGCAGGTGCCTGCCTAAGGCTATCAGCCCAATATTCAGATTTACTGGTTCACAGGACGGTTTCACTGCAAGTTTCTTGCATACCTGCAGCCCCTGCACCTCAGTTTTGAACTGCTGGGGACAGCAAATCTGCTGGACCACAGCAGGAAAGTCTGGAGAGAGAAGTTCTCTTCTGGTTAACATGCACCTGGCTAAGCACACTTGCTTTTTTTTTGATGTTTTGGTTAATTTTCCTGCCTTTTCCTTACACATTGCAATAYTTCTTTGCACCCCTTGCCAAAACCTTACCTTACAGCAGACGCAGAAAGCTTTGAGAGGGTTCAGCCCCAGCCAGCCGCTGTTGCCCGCATCTCGAAACCGGTTCATGAACTCCGTGTAAAGGGCCCGCTGGATCTTCGATAAACGCACCAGAATGACATGYTCTTCCTTCGAGGGCAGCTGAACTTTTAGCACGTTGTGGCCCCGTCTGTGGAAGCAAAAAAGGAAGGTAAATAGAGGGAAGGGAACTTCCCTCTGTGATTTCTCACCCAGCCTGGCTGCAAGGAGAAAGCCCTCCAGTTGCAGGCTTCTCTTACACACAACACCCATGAGATACTGCTACCAMCAGTCCCCAAACCAACAACCAGCAGCAGTTAGGGAGGTCTCCAACGTTACGCGCTCCTAGCACAGGTCACTGTGTTAAGGTCACAGTGTCAAGAGGAGTGATGAAAGACTTGTTTTCCACGACAGACGAAAAATGTAATTAAGAACTAAAGCCTATTTTTGTTCTCCCAGTGACTCTTCCTAACGGAGAGTTAATAAAATACTTCCAAATAACTGGTAGAAGATGTCAAAAGAGCATCCAAATTAGCTATTAAGACATCAAAATAAGGCCTGGAGGTCCTTCTAGTGTAGTTAGAGGTGCTGTCTTCATAACCTGGATGTACAGTATCAAAGGAAATTAACTTTATTTCTAGTCCAAACGCAACCAGAATCATAAAGATCCATAGGCTTAAGCTCCTTCCACCAAGATAAAGCAGCTGTATAGAAGTCAAGCCCAAGCTGGCAACATGATTAGCTGTACTGCACAAACTCAGCAGGCAAGCAAGCTGGACTAAAGGAGCTGGTTTTGCAGGGACTGGACTAGGAAGAAGGCAGTGGGGACTCACCGTTGCACAAAGCCCTCCAGCAGGCTATGCAGGACGTGGCTGCGGTACCTCATGAGACGGACGTCTTGCGGGGTGCTGTCAATGCACTGCCCGTTGAGGATGGGGCGCTCGAACATGTTGCTGAATTCCTGCCGCGAGCCCAGGAAGTCGGGCCGGACAAAGTCCACCATGCACCAGTACTCGATGAGGTTRTTCTGGAGCGGGTAGCCGGTGAGCACCACGCGGCGGCGCGAGCGGATGTTCTTCAGCGCCTGCGACGTGCTGGCGTGGCAGTTCTTGATGCGGTGGCCCTCGTCACAAATGACCACGTCTGGGCCGGGGCGAGACAAGGCTTTTTCAATCCCTGGGGACAAGGGACGACAAGCGCTGGTTTAAGAGCAAGTCCTGCCTTTACAGGGGCATCAGCTTCCAAAAAGGAAGAAGGGGAGATCTAGAGGGTAAAAAGCAACACCCATTGGCGGCAGAGACCAAGGCTGATTTGGGGAACCAGATGTGACCAGACACAGGTTCCCATTTAGCGTGATGTGGTAACGAGCAGACATCTGCTCATGGTCCACACGAAGCAAGTTGAGCATCTTGTATTAGATACTACTAGAAAACCTCACACATACAAGCCCCGTCATCAGCGTAGTGACTTCCACTCCTGCACAAAAGACTGAACGGGAACTAAATGGCCTTCAGTCTCCTGAGAGCCAGACCTGTCAAGCAAGACTTGGCCACATCAGGGATGTGGAAAGCCAGCAAGCTATTCCAGACTTGTTCTGACACTGAGGACCTCAATTTCTAGCCAAACTTGCTGAAGAGACCTAGGAGCACCTTCAATACAAGCAGCAAGTGACCACAGATCCACCCACCGTCGGCTTCCCGACAATCCTGCCACCACACAAAAAAGGAACCGTTCTCAGCAGCTAAGCAGGATTAACATTCCCTCTGTTAGCCTACAGATATAAGCAGTTACAGGTTATCTCCCTGTGCTGCCAGGGTTGGCAGAGAYGGACAGGAGAATTTTTGGGGACTCGGACCTTTCAGAAGCTCCTGCTGCCGGTCCTCCTCATCCAAGTCAATAATGACAGGGCCAGCTTGTTTCTTGCTTTTCTTCTTCCTGCCGGCGGCAAAGGACTTCTTCAGTGAGAGGAGCCGGTACATCTCATAGCCCATCAGCAGCACACCACCCTCTAGCACCCAGTCATTCACCACCTTTGCACGTGCGGCCGTCGTCCTGCAAAAAGAGGGGGAAAAAGAACAGAAACAGAACTGTAAGCTGCTTCCTCAGTTCTGGTTGCAAGCACTGCCCTGCCGAACAAAAAGACCTGTTCAATTCACGAAAGCACTTTCTGGCATTCTATCAAACAGAGGAATACAATGAAGCTCTTTTCAGGAGATGAGCTGATAAAGAGGAGAAGAAACAAGCCCTTCAGTGTGCAGTGGGGCTGAGAATGGCAAAGCCTAGCAGGACCTGAGCTGCAGAAGCCTGTCTCRTGTGAAACCCTATCAGATTTGAGGGCATCCTTCTGGGAGAGCGGTTGGGAAGACAGCCCCTGCAAAACCACATTTGCTGATCGAACTGCTCACGCACAGGGCCACACTCGGTACCCCTCACTCTCTCTTCCAATGCAAGTGTCCCTCAATTACTCCTTGCCTGCTGGCTCTTCTTTCCCTGCTAGCTGCTCAGAAGTGGTTCAGATAAAGACTCTGTCCTCCCTCAGCCTTCCCAGAGAATACTCCCACATCCAAATGCAGCTCCATTCAGTGATCTCTCCTGTTTGGACATTAAGTTTGGCATAACTCCCCAGTATTCCTTAAGGGAAACACAATCCACGGAGAGACACAGTGTTGGGGTAGAGGAATCCCTAAAGAGGTGAAAATTTTCAGGGAAAAGCAATGGAAAATACAAGAGAGGCAGGGCACACGTCTCAGCAGTCCCAGGACTCTGCTGGGATGAGCAGGGTAGCACCAGAAACAAACCATAGCACTTCTGCCAGTCATTACAGAAGTAGCTCCTCCTCTGGTCACTGGGTTCTTGTTCTCAGCAGACAGGGAAGAACAGAAAGGTGAGTCAGCAAYGGGAGAAGAAAGTATAGGATATAAGAAAGAACAAAAGAGGCAGCAAATCTCTTGCAGGTACCAAAACGCTGCCCAAAGGAGAGCAAATGCAGAGTGAAAAGGATCTGGGGGTCTAGGGCACAGATTAGCCCAAACTAACCACACTACAACAGCAATCTGGCAACAGTTCCACAAGCAGCAGCCCAAGAGCTCAAAAGGGCTTTTATTGGCACCTACTTGTGTTCATCATTCAGGATGTGGACTTTGAAGGTGCGGGGCTGGACCTCTTTGGAGTTATAATCAGCAGGAAGGTTTTCAGGTGCCGGGAGCCACATGTTGAATTCTGCTAGCCAGTTTTGGAGCGTATTCACCTGAAAAAGTTAGCCATGGAGGGACTGAAAACCCTATTAAATCAGGCACTCGGGATTTTAAAAGCAGAAACGAGAGCAGGGAATGCCAGCGTGCCCAGAAGGAGCAGACCACAGCATGCAAACTGAGGGACACGGGGAAGGGAGCAGGGGAAAAGGCTGAGGTTATGACAGAGCTTGTGGGGAGCTGGGGCACCAAACAATCTTCTCTACAAAAAGAAAGGTGGTGCAAGGAAGTTCATCAGTCAGCCCTTCACGTAGGCTACTTACAGGTACAATGGCAAGAACAGTCTTTGCCTCTGTGTGCCGAAAAAGTACATCCAAGAAAGAGATGACCTGTATGGTCTTGCCCAGGCCCATGCTGTGTGCTAAAATACACCCAAACCCGCTGCTGGTTTTAAATCTCTCCAGGGACTCCACCAAGTTGTCATAGAGGAATCGGATTCCACCAATCTAAGAGAGAAAAGTAGAAAAAGTGTCAAAAAGGTGGGAGAAAATAACAAAACGGGTGCTTATTTAGAGTGGCACAAACATTAGGATTCAATCAGCTTTTAAAACACAAAGGGGATGTTTCAAGTTCACTGCAGTATTTTAAGCTAGGCARGACTCAGAAGTTTTCAGATACTCAGGAAACTTTCTGAGAAGATGATACTATAAAACCTCACATTCATTTGGAGCCAAAGAATTTGAGGCAGGGTTGGTTAGTTTGTTTATTAACATAATTTGATCTTAAAAATGCTTTGCTGAACATGCAAGGCAAACATTCCTGCTCGTTCTTCCCAGATAGCACCACACCATCCATCACCAGGCTGCCCAGCTAAGAAACCTCTTGGGCAGTGCAATAAACTCCAATCCTTCTAAAACACTTTGAGAGCTGGGGGAAGTCAGTCACCAATATAGTCAGAAACAAGAAAAATACTCCCGATTCTTCATCTTTTGATTGAGTATAAGCGTCAGCACTTGAAATAATAATAAAGGACTCTGCTTATCAAATCACAAAAGTAGCTAAAATTATACACAGTCCAGCCGTGTAATTTCTCTTTATCCAGAAGAGCCTCCACCACAACCAAACTGCCCACAACGTTCAGCAAAGAGGTTCTGCTGAGATTACAAAGCAAGTGGCTGCACTCCTGGCATTTCCGAGCCTACCTGATGAGGTTTCACTGCGTGGGCAAGCTGGGGAGCCAGGAAAATGTCCTCTTCGTTTGGTGGATGGTTGATGTTGACGATGACTTGCCCCAGAGCATCGGACTGATTTAAGGCATCATTCACATGAGAGCCACTGCTCTCTTCACTGCCATCCTCCTCCCCTTCGTTGCCAGAGTCGCTGCTGTCCACGATCTGGAGGGCATCGTCCTCTCCTGAACTCAACTCAATCACTTCTGCAAAGTAACCAACACAGGAGAGAAGAGCAGCAACGGTCAGCTCGACCTCCAGGTTTATCCAAACGTACACAGAGAGAAAATAAGGCTGCCACATTTTGCAGTTCAGTGTCTTGTGTGTTACACTGGCCTAATGACCTCTTCTGCCCAAGGAACACATCAGGTTGCTTAGGTCAGCACACAAAAGCTGGAGCTTCCTAGTATTTGGAGAACAAGAATTTGGGCTGAACCAAACAAAACAAAATGCAGTTTCTCCAAGAGCTTTATGTTCTTCCCCACGTGTCCTCCTACTTCCCAAAGCCAGTCGTGCATTTATCTGCTGATACTCTGCCCTAAGGAGCACCAAGGAAACCAGGCACAAGCACTTTTTGGAGCTGTATAAAGGAGCCAGGTTAGATACATCTGTGACACTAAAAAAAAATATTTAAATTGCAAATTAAAAGCTTTTTATTTTTGTTTTCCCTGCAGCAAAGGGCGCCATATCTCATGTAAAGTGAGGCTCCTTAGCAGAACATTGAGCAAAAATTAGTACATTAAAAAAAAAAAAAAAGGCATTAAAAATGAACACAAGTTTCCATGTCTGCCAGGCCAGGTTAGAAACGTCACTTCAGAAGTTAGAGGGCAGAGCTGGCCATATACTTGGAAACCACTAGGACTAATAAATCTGAAGTTACTCACTAGTGTAAAACAGGTAAAAACAGGAGAAAAAGCTGTTTCTCAGGGCTGACTGAATTGCATGTTGTGAGAAGAGCAGACAAGTGGTCACTTACCATCTTTAATGCTGTTTTTCCCCTTAGCATCATCTTCGCTGCCGCTGCTGGTGCTATCTAGGCAGATGACTTCCTCAGCAAGGACCTGTGGGGGCAGCTGGGCAGCCTCCGCCGTTCGGAAAACGATGTCCTCTGCAAACACGACAATAAGTAACTCACAATAACAGCGACGGAGACAAAACTGCTCAGAAAGCAGACAGTATTTCCTTCCACTTTTGCTCCAATAACTTAGCCCTGGAATTTTCCACAACAGACTCTCACTGTCTAACACACTGCTATGACTCAGCTTCCTGGGTCACAGTCTCCTTCTTTCTCAATGTGCCTGAACAATAGCCCATTGCTCAGGGCACCCTTGGTGCTGCGTGTCCCGGCTGGGCCACAGGCACCATGGCCATGGTAAAGCCCCATTTTTGTTGTTGTTTTGGCTGTCTCAGAAGCCAAAGACTTTCCTCCTCCTTCATTCCACTCGTGTTTTGCACCCAGCGGAGAGAGCACCCATTCCTGGAGGGATGGAAATGGCCCTTTCTTAGGAGAGCGCTGCAATAATTATATCCCATGTATTATCAGGCACTTTTGCTGATCGAGGCCGTTTGCTTGTGTGTTTAAGCACTGCGATATAGGGGGAGAGGCTGGCTCAAGGGGGCCTGGAGAGCTCAGCTGCAGYGACTCAGCAAGCAAGCACGTTCTCCTGGGGCTGCAACCCACTCCTCAGCAGCTAAGGGGTTTTAAATAGCTCGCACTGTTTTTTGTATGCAAAAAAACTTTTAAGACATTTGCACTTAAAGGGGAATATATTTTTTCTCAAGAGGTAAGGCTGACTTAAGAATACCTTGCCCCCTGACACAACTCCACGCTGCACTTCTCTGCCCCCACACCAACCTCAAAGGCTGTGCTATTAACTGCATCATTTGATCCAGGTTAAAATAGATGCAAGACTAAGGAGATGGAGATAAGGGCAGGATCTGGGAGCATCTCCTGCTTTGGGATGGAGGGGCGATGTGCAACCATGAGCAGAGAGATAGCAGGCAGTGCACATTTAAACGTGGAAGAAAAGGACACAGCTAAATTACAAACATCTGTACGCTCCGTCTGTTGCTCCAGCAGCACCAGAACTCGGGCACTACCAGACTACCCAAAGTACAAATATCATCAGGCTAAAGGACATGGCATTTCTGACAAATGAGCTTGTTTAAGCACTACACCAGTTACGAAAAGACAAGAGAGACCTAAGGACGYGCACCTGAGAGCGCAAGGGCAAGATATCTTCTTCTCCATTCACCTCCTAGCCCTCAAAGTCTTACTTTAAGGGCCATTTCCCACTGCTTACCAGGAAGAAACTCTATGGGTACAGTAGGAATAGCAGCTGGATAATCCTTCCGCTGCTGCTCGAGCCGTTTCCTTCTCTCCAACTCTTCCTGCTGGGCTGCTTTCGTCACGGCTTCCAGTTGGTCCTCACGCAACAGCTTTCTGATCACACGAGCAAAGAGAAAGTGGTTGGTTCCATGAAAAGGATCTCTCCCAAACAAGTGGGTGAGCTGCACAGCTGGTGTGACAGAAGATTCCTGAGACAAGCTCCAGGTAGTCTGCCAGCTACAGGGACCAGCAATGTCATAGCCAAAAGGTACAGATAAATATCTGCAGCTATGTCAATACTGTGCTTCCCACCATCAGGCACCATGACTCAAGAAAGGCAGAAATTTGACAGGAACAAAATAGTGAATGGGTGAAAAACGTGACTCAGTAAGCAGATACTTGAACTAGGTCACCGAGGAGGAGTTCTCCTCTGCGAAAGCAGGTTATTTATTGCTATAAAGCTTATACAGACAAAAGTATGGAGTGATGCAAGGAAGCTATGGGAGGAGAAGAGGCATCGCATCCAACTCAAAAAGTCATCACCTGGATTTTCCTCTCCCCCAGTGCTTTCAGGAATTTCTCACAGCTTTAAAGCAACCATGACTTTTTCAGGTAATTTCTATYACTTTCAGAAGTTTCTTTTCTCCCCTTTCGGTTTCACTCTCAGACAGACAGAACTACAAAACTGCACAAACTGCACAGCTACTACCAAGCAACAGGGGTGCTATTTTTCAGTTATGTGACTTTAAAACCAGCAGCAACAGACCATTGTCGCTGTATCTTCTGTAACTCTATATTGTACTCTGCTGAAATACCAAACAAGCTTGCACCCACATGCAGCATGYAGACTGAGAGCACGCTACTCCCACTGGTGAAATCCTAAGGTTCTGGAAAGAAAAGCCATCTGGTTTGCCAACAGTGGCAAAACGCGGCTCAAAAAGTCCTTGGGCTCCTTTTTTTCCACCCCAAAAGGCTAAATAGAAGCCCAAGTCTTTCCGCCTTGCTGCTGCTCACCTTATGTTCCTCCGCATGTGAGAAGGTTTCTGAGCCCTCTTCTTTTTGGTGTCCTCAGAGGCCAGGCTCTTGTGCTGGTTCTGCAAGAGTCGCTCTGCCCGCTCGCTCTGAGATGAGGTAGTTGAAGTCGAGCGCTGCCACTCTCCATCCTCGGCGTGCTCAGCGTGCTCGCTGCTGAACACGGCGTCCTGGGGTTGCTCTGAAAGGACAAGGACACGAGGACATGAGGACAATGGGCCCTCGCTGGGGGCTGTGAGCGTTCAAGAAGAAGAGACTCTCATCACCTCTTCTTGCTCATCTGCAAGTGTCCCTCACCAAGGGTCAAAGCTGGAGTCCTCTCTGACCACRCCACTAAGGGAGCTCTAGGGTGGAGGGTCTGTTTCCAGCGAGAGCTAAGACTACACCACTGAATTCCAAAAGGATTCCAAGAGAAAAGCAAGCAGTGATGGAAAGCCCTACAGCCCACATGAAACCCACCCTGCTTGAAGGATCTCACCACCTTTTTCTTGGCTTCTTAGCASAGCAGAAATTTCCAGTCACGTGCCACGCGTGTGTAACCATCGTCCAAGTCAACAGGACGCACCAGGCAAGAGGTTATCTGGCTCCAATACCGGGTCATGGCCCAACAGGCAGCCTGGGGCTTTTATCACCAGCCTCCACTGTCATGATTTAAGTGCCAGCTGCTGGCAAGCTTCAGAGAAGACAAAATCTAGGCAGCAAGAGGCTTTCCACAGCAGAAAGCACCATTACTCCCTCCTTTCAGCATTCCCCTGCTTCCAGACCCATACCAGTGGTGGATTTCAGTCACGTCAATGGTGGGTTTCAGTCCCCAAGCACTAGGCGAAGTGTCGCCTTGTTGCACGTGGCATTTGGCTCCTCAAGAGGCCGGCGCTGACCGAGCTCACGCGTGCAGATGGCACAACAGCAACGTTGCTGTTCAGAAGCTTCCCTTCAAGCAAACTGGTTCTGACAAGTCCTGCAGGAGCTTCTTTGAAACGTCTTGTCCCCCCGTGCCAGGTGTGGAGATACCCTGAACCTCATCTTGAAATCAGAGCCTGCGAGCTAATGACTGAACCCAAATGACACTAAGAACTTGGAAGGAAAGGGGGGAAGGAGACACCAGAGCAGAACAAGGCAGCAACTGAAGCAAACCTGAGCACACAAGCACCACGTTGTGACCCTGCTCCTTCAGAAGGCTGTGAGCTCACACGAAGGAGGCTTTGGGAGACACCTCTAGAGCTGCCACGTTAATACCCCTATTAAATTAACCTTATCATCGATGTCACCTCCTGAAATCAAGGTGGCAACAGCTATGTTCACCATGGTGCAAAGCATTGGCCTTGCAGGCTGCTTCTCCAGACATCTCTGCAGACCTGTGAGCACTTGCTCAAAGTCAGAATTCAGGCAGGACTTCTGGMTTTGCCCCACCATGGTCCACAACTGCTTGCACAGCTCAAATGTTTCCCTAGCAGTACTGGCAGGTTCTCCGTGTACTGGAAAAATGGGGAGCAGCAACTGGTGGGGTCCAACGGAGCTTGTGGCCAATGCAGAGAGGAGCTACGTTGCAGGTGAATATGGAAGCAAAGAGGGTTCATTGCTGCAATCACACTGGTTCATCTCCCACGGCCACGGCCTCTGCGCCCTTCCCTCCCACCACATGTGCTACGTGGAACAAGGTCCATCCCCAAGGATCACATTCACTCGCAGGCAGCGAGCAGGGCTGGGAATGACGCCCATGTGCACGGGCTGCCGGGCAGGARCTCTGCTGCTCGAGCTGAGGATGCATTCTGGTCGCATCACCTGCGGCTTGCTGGCACTGCTGCCTTCCCCGCCAGCCTCCGCGGCTCACRCTTATGTAACTAGATCAAAAGATTGGATGAAATAGGGCAAAGGGAAGCAGGGAGGCAGCGCAYGTGACCGCATTCTCCGGGATGAGTCATTAAACCAGTGACTCTCCCCGATACAAATACTGCCATGGTTACACTGCTGCCACCTCACCCCAGGCCCACCGGGCCTTGACGAGGCYCTAAGGAGCTCCAAGCTCGGTTGGCACATGGGAGCTCCTCTTTCCCCCCACTCCAGCAGCGGCCAAGGTCACCCCGGGTGGGAGCAGCCGCTCGCTCGCCCCACGCCACGAAGGGACGAAGGCGACGCGGACAAAATCCAAAGACCGGGCAGCCCAAAGGTGAGGCSGCTACGTGTCTCCCCTCGATGCTTCCACATTTGCCACGCGATCTCCACGCCTCATCCCACCTCCGCATTTACCTTTCCTTCCCTCTGTGCGTGGGACACRAGCTCCGTGGAATTGCACGCGCAGCCGCGCGAGGCCGTTCGCTGATCAGAGCGCCTGCCCCTGCACATGGATCGCGAGGCTCCCCATGGCAGCCGCTCGATTCCCACCTGGCAGCTTCTCCTGCGACCCGCTGGGGCTCAGCCACGGCCAGAAACAGCATCCACACAGGTGGAAACCTGCGTGGTACAAGCGACAGATCTGCTCTGCGGAGGGAGCAAAGAGGCTGGAGGAGAAGGTGCCGTTAGGTAATCGAAGGACTAATTCCTGCCCCAATTCCTCCCAGCCTCGATCCGCAAGAGAAATGCAATTATGGTTTTGTAACGGGATCTTGGCACGCTGCTGCGAGCTGGCCACGCGGGTACCGGCACTCTAGGGAAGTTACCTGTTACCTGCTCCACCTCGATGAGAAAAGCAAAGCCACCAAGCTAGGGGCTGGCACTGCCTTGCACAGGGCCATGGGTCACGTCTGCTCAAGCTCACGGCCATTTCTGCTGCATGTTTTGTGCTGTGCTCACCAAGACCAGCASCAGGATCCTCCCAAGAAGGTTCCCGAGGTGCACCAGGACACGAAGGTAGCACCAGTGCAGAGCACTCCCACGTATCCCACAGAACAGCATGGGTGCCACGTAAAGAATATTCTCCAGCAGCTTCCAGTGGGCAGCGAGTCGCCCTCACGGCAGCCTGCTCCGCAAGGGAACTCAGGTCACTGCCAAGTGTCACGGAAAAGCAGGTTCATCTCCGAGGTGGGATGAGATTTCTTTAGTCAACAGGCTTCTCCCGACACCAGGGAGGGCGAAAATCCGTGTGAAAGTGGCACCCAATCTCTGCGTCAACACATCCATGCGCAGGTGAACATCCACGGGTGTAAGTGAACATCCACGGGTCTAGCAACAGACAGACACGCCTAGGAGCACAGAAACGGTTGTTGTGGATCAGACCTGAGCTCGCCCTACCTGGAGCTGCTTCACCAGAGGATGCCCAGGACCTCTCAGCGCCACCACAAGCCACAAGAGAATATTTCCTTGCACCGCGAGCTGCTTGCAGGCTGGAGAGGCKGGCTGGAGGCTTCCTGTCCTCCCTGGAGGCCGAGCTCGCTGCCAGCACAGTGCCAAGCACTTCAGGGAAGGGGCAGCGCTGGGAGAACAGACTCGTGTTTGTTTTTAAACTTGCTTCCTTACGGAAACACAGGATCCCGGATAGCACTGTTTTGCTGAGTCCTCAAGAGTTATTTCCTACCCTAAGGACAGGGATTTGCAGGGACAGGGAGGAAGGCAGCCGCRGGCAAAGGACAGCGGCTCCAGCTCYGGGACCTCCCTCCCTCTCATCCCGCACAAAGGAGACAAGAGCAGTTAAATGTGAATCCCCGTTTTGGGAATTCCCTGCAGTTCACGGGCAGGAGCCTGCCTGGGACCAGCCGGCGCCGGGCAGCTCCGCTCCGGGCGGCCGCGAGCGGTCACCGCGTGGCGGGGAGCAGAGGCCAAGGCCAGCGACACGCGCGGCGCCCGCAGACACTCGCCGGTGCTCGGAGCACCAGGAGGCTCCGCGGCCGGCGGGAAAGCGGCGGGAAGAGCAGCCCTGTCACTACTGCCTCGTGGCCGAGGGAAGAGGCTCGCGGATCCCGGGCAGGGGATCCCCGGTGCCCGCCGCCCCAAAGGCTGCCRGCGGGGACGGTGGGAGGACGCGGCCCCTCCGGCTGCCGCTCGGCTCCGGCGCCGCCGGGATGGCGCGGGGCCTTGGGCGCCGCTACGCCCCTCCCAGCCCCGAGCTCTTAACAAAGCCCTAATTATGTAAGGCTTATGTAACGGGCACACCTACCCCCCCACCCGGCGCCACGGCCCCCGGCAGCCCGCCCGGCACCCGGCGCCGCCCCGCGCGGGGACCGGGACGCTCGGAGCGGCTTCCGGCACGCCGCCGCCTTCGGCTCCCTTCCCGGCCTTCCCGCTCTTGCCCACCGCGGGGCCAGGACCCATCCAGGACTGCCACGGGCCCCACCGTGGACCACGCTCCATGCGGAGCTGTCCCCCATCCCCTGCGGAGCGACGGCGGTGGTGGCTCCCAGGTGACTTCACCCCGTGGGCATCGCCCCGAGTCACAGCCACCGCAGTGTGGTGCAGGGATGAGTTTCGGTGTCTACGGCTGCTGAAGCCCTTTCCTGAGCACCAGCGTGGCAGCCTTCAGCCTGGCTGATCTTTGACATCTCCAAGATCTTCAGCCTTTGGGACATTATCACCACCCCAGGTCCCCCTTTCCCAGCTGTCTCCGCAAGCAGGCGCTGAGCCTGGTGTCCCTCTCCGCGTCCTGAACACGTCCTCTGGTCATCTTGATGCTCGTGAAGCCATCGGTCACCGGAGGTTTGAAGGCTGCAGGCAGGAGAGCAGCTGCTTCGAGCCCCAGCCCAGGACCACAGGCTGTAGATGTGAAATGAGCTCTGAAGAAAATAGTCAGAATACAGGGCAAAGCCACCCAGGTTCCTTCTCGGGCTGGGAAGTTAAGCCTCATCCAAGGAAAAATGTGATGAGCGATAGGGCAGCGTGGGCCGTCTTCGCCCATTGGAGGGCTCGTGCGTAGCAGTGACCAAGAGGTGGCACTGAACAAAACAACCCCCTTCCCTGGCCTGGAGGGCTCCTTCCCGAGCAGGAGCTGAGGAACAGGAGCTAGGGAGACGCAACTCCAAAAGTGAAGGGAAAAGGAGCAGCGGGGAGGCAAACGGCACCGTCACRCAGCCAACGTTGGTGACAGACAATATATCTTCTAACGGCGGGATTATGCAAGAGCAAACCAGGCCCCAAATACCCAAGAGCTCTCGGTCTGGCCGGGCCTCAACGCTGCATACACTGAGGAGACCCGAGTTACATAAACACCAAAGAGCACTTATATAACCTTTTGTATGGAGCACACTTGCAAAG